ACATACAGAATTTTTATTTTGATTTCAAAAATGTATATGTCATACATTGACATTGCAAAACCTTAGTTATTCCTAGTTATTCCTAGGTAGGCTTGAAATTATCAGATTTCATTTGTTTGCATAGCAACAGAGTTTGGAAGACTGTGAAAATCTCTGCTTATTTATGGTTATTATTGTTATTACAATCAATAAAATTCCCATTTCGTATTCAGGTTTCACCATATCATTATATTTCCTTATAATTTTTATCATTAATAACAATAAATTTATGGTCACCTAACGAAGTAGATCACTGAATTTAGGGCTGAAAAGACACTTAAGGCCCGTATCGTCAGTCGTCCCTACAATTGTAGGGCGCGTTTATGGCCTCCTTTATTGTCATACTCGTTTCTCTCCTTTAAAAATTTCTAGATTACACTTGTCCCGTGTCAGCGTCAGCGCTTTCCTATTGTGAAGATATGTTTTCTTTTTAAATTGTAGGAATGTTCAGGCTGATAAAACATGATATAACTCAAAAGCAAACACAATTTGATGCAAATAGATGTTTGTGACATAACCTCAAAATAGAGTTCTGGCACGGAGAAGTAGAAAACTATGACAATCAAGGAGGCCATAAAGGCGCCCTACAATTGTAGGGACGACTGACGATACGGACCTAAATGTACAAAATTCTGTATGAAAAAACAAAATTGATGTCGAAAGAAGAAATGTCGAATTGAAAATTTGACTACGCCATCTTGTAGACGAGAATAAGTAACAATGCCAATGTGCAATTTATTTTAAAATCTTATGTCAAAAAAAGTCAGGAAAAAGATAGAGCGATTTTGGGATACGTTTGCTGAGCGAAACAAACATCTGATAATTTCAAGGGCTACCTAAGAAATTGTTTTTTTTTAAGTAACTAAGGTTTGGCAACGTCAATGTATGACGTATTATGCATTTTTTGAATCAAAATTAGAAACTATTCGTTTGTGCAAAAATGCAAAGCGGCTTTAAGAAATAATAAAGTTGATGCTAAGGACAAGAGACGAACCGTCATAAAAAAATTCATCTTGTAGTCAGAAAAAAATCAAAACGATTTTGGAAATATATAATATAGCTAAAATAGCTAAACATTGCAATTATCAAGATCTACTTACATAGCTGTAAGTTTCACAGAGTTCCCAACATGGACAAAAAGAACTGAGACTACTAAAATACATAGAGGTAAGATTAAAATCGCGTAGTTGCGCATTTTGCAACTGTAACAAAAATTTTCAAAAGACTAGTGATCACAAAAATCGTATTAATGGTTCTTGATAGTTATGTCCTGTGTTGTTCGGATTTTTCATACTGTATTCATAATCTTCATTTTGCCATTACACGGTCAATAAACAAAAAATCGAGCACAAAGCACTTTGACGCTGGCTGATATTTAAAATGGAATTTTACTAAAATTTCTTCTGCCACTTGCTCACCCGAAAATGCTACAGAAACTTGTTTCTGTTGAATTGTGGCACTGTTTTCTCTACAAAATTTAGGTTTATGGGTTTCATTCTCTCCTCAGCAGATCTTCAAAGTCATCATCTTCTTGGTATATCGCTCAGTTTTTGAACTGCTGTAAGTTATTAGAACTAGGAAAAGCTCCTCATGTAGATTGTTACACGTTCTCGATACCATCGAGACAAAGGAGCGGTCTTATCGGCCAGCTCTAGATGTACGAAGTTCGACGCGGTTACGATGGGAGGCCGAAATCAGGCAGGCACATCCCGCGGCGACACCATGGAAGAGAGCTCTGAGGTAGTCGATCAATAAATGCCTCTTGTGAAGCAATTTTAGTCCTCAAGATAGTTCCGACACACTCTGACACCTGTCACTGTCACTAGTTGATTGGTGTCCTCTGACCTGTCAGAAGGTTCTGTACGAACAGCGGATTAGCTGTCGGGAAGCAGTCAGAAATTGTACGAACAGGTAACATCTCTCTGATTCTGATTTTGACAGTCACCGACAAGTTACCGACTACTGTACGAACAAACCATAAATAAGCAAAGATATGTCATCAATAAAATAACATTTAGGCTGCACTAACAACAATTCTTTGCATAGACCTTTCTATTTATATTTACTTGGGATCCAAAGCATCATATATGCTTTTGTTCAATTTAACGAAGGCTTTGAATTGATAGATCTGAATAAGATATATTCTGCTACACCTAGTTAATTGTCCTTACGACAGCATGCCTCCGATACAAAAATGTATCTTGTCCATATGCATGCTCTATCTCTTTGTTGTACCTTTGTCTGTAGCTCCGCAGTATGATTTCCCACCTTGAATTCCATCTGAAATCATCACGTAACCATTCAAAGGTAACAGTTGAATGGATTGTGGATGATAAAAATGCGCCTTTAGTCTCCTTAGCATAGAATGGCGATAGCGCCTAAGTATAAATCTACTCACGACGCCAAATCATTATTAGGCGTGAATATTAAACGCAGCTATCTGCATAATGTTGCATTTTTGAGATACGAACGTTCAATTTACTTTCTATATGCAGCAGTAATTAGCATCTTATCGATTTTGAATTTGCATAAATGCATGAAACGAGTTGCTAAGTTTGAGTGTTTGTACCCAGCTAGAGTACCTTTTGCAATTCAATCCTTCAAATGTTAGATGCGCACTAAACAACCGCAAGGGCTGTTGCCTGTTCCACTTTTTCGTCGTTGTTCGCCAAAATGTGAACCGCTGCTTTCGTCTGTCTGTTAGTCTATCAGGTCTGGCTGCCCAGATACCGAACGGGTTCAAGGGGAAAGGAGAAAGAAGGAAAAAAAGGAAGGAAGGCACAAAGCAAAGAAAAGAACATTCGAAGTAGAAAACGTGCCACGTCTTTTTTTATAAATAAGAGGAACAGGTGGTGTGATTCCTCTTTCCTTTTTTTATTAATAAATCAATTAATAAAACACTATAAATGAAATCTAAGGATCAGTCAATGCAAAACAGCGCTCAAGTGGCGTGCAAATTTAGGCCCTAACTCAATATATCGGAGAGTAGGGAGGAGGGAGGGGGGGGGGGGGTAGGTAAGAGCGCCAGTGACTCAAGACGGATTAAGTCACAAATCTCCGAAATGTTAGTCGGAACTTGTTTTGCTTGACCACCATACAAAGAAAAGAATCTAACTTTAACCCTTTATTTGACAATATTGCTTATGGGCAATATCATTTTATATTATATTATACTAAGTGGCATATAAATCCGAACACCCAGTTTAAATGGTTTTATTTTAATAAAATAATGGTGAATGTATTTATCTGACAGTAAATAACAAGTGAAAAAATGTTCAGCCTTATCAGTTGGACATTCCGGTTTTTATACTGCTTTTTTTTAATTCACTAACGCTCTAAAAATGAATATTTCAGCCGCAGTAAAGAATCAACGTTGGCGGATTTTGGTTCTTGACATCCTTTACGATCGGTTACGATACCTAGAGTACGGAGACCTGTACGATTTCGTCAACTTAGTGAGTTTGATAGGGGCCGTATAGTGGGACTTCGGGAAGCTGGACTTTCTTTTCGGGCAATTGCAGTTAGAGTGCAAAGAAGTGTAGACACTGTGGTTAGGTGTTGTCAGGCATGGCTTCGAGAAGGCCGTACGCAAAGAGCAAGGGGCACTGGACGCCGCCGTAGAACAACAGACCGTGAAGATCGCCGCCTAAGATTATTGACCTTAAGGGACCGTTTCTCCACTACCAGGTCCATTGCAAATGAATGGTTTGCAGAACACGGAAGACCTATTGGCATGCGAAGTGTTTACCGACGAATGAGAAGTTTTGGCTTGTTTTCATACCGGCCACACTGGGTCCTCCCTTTAACTCGAGAACACCGACGTAATCGCCTTGAGTGGTGCAGACAACGGTCACTCTGGGATCAGGAATGGAACAGTATTGTATTTAGTGACGAGTCTCGATTTTGTTTCGGCATGCACGATGGTCGTGCCAGGGTTAGAAGGCGACGTGGTGAAAGGAGGAATCCAGAGTTTTTTGTTGAAAGACATGTTCATCACACTGTTGGAGTTATGGTTGGGGGTGCTACAGCTTATGGTTCCAGGTCACCATTAATCTTCATCAGGGGTAACATGAACGCGCAGCGTTATATCCACGAAGTTCTAGAACCCCATCTTTTACCCTATCTTGACACCGTGGCAGATCCAACTTTCCAACAAGATAATGCCCGACCACATGTTGCAAGAGTCACAATAGACTTCTTTCAACATAATGATGTCACATTGTTACCATGGCCACCAAGATCTCCCGACTTATCCCAATTGAGCACGTGTGGGATATGATGGGTAGGAGATTGCTCAATTTGCAACGTCCTCCTCAGACTCTAGAAGCACTTCGAGAGGAGTTGGTGGTTGCCTGGAGTGAGATACCACAGGAGGACATTGACCACCTGATCAGAAGCATGCCTAGGCGCGTTGGAGAATGCGTAGCACATCAGGGTGCATCCACACATTATTAAAGGTCAAAGGGCTTTAAAGCAGTGCAATCATTTTGAAATTTTTATAATTTACGTATTATGCTTCATTAAGTACTTATACAAAATTTTATTAAAATAAAACCATTTAAACTGGGTGTTCGGATTTATATATCACTTAGTATATATGGTCTCCGTTGTACAGATATACGATTAAACGGCCAATGATGCTTACAGGCAACGTTTGTTCGCATCAAAGCAGCGATGTTTGCCGTGGAACTCCGATCAGTTACCATGCTACACGCGGTTGTTATGACACTGTTGTGAAGTATTGTAGGTTATCTGCGTACTATCTCGTTCTATATTAGTGAATTGTATATAAAAAATATATTCGCTGCTGTTTTTCATATATTTTGAAGGTAAATATACGTTAGAATTTGTGTATAACTATTCTTAGTTAGTTTCTACGATTTTATAGGGTGAAATCATTTCGCATATTTAGTGTTGCTTACAATCATCATTGCCAGGACAGAAAATAATTATAAAAAATAATGGATGTAACAACTTTTTACGGGAAAGGTAAAAACCAGGTAGTTATCCTGCCTTCCGAGGATCCCACTCTATCCGATGCTGATTTTTCTGGCCTCGACGATGATAATGATCTCATCACTGCTGCCGCTGAAACCAATTTGTCAGAAAATACGGGTAATGTTGGAAGGAATCACTTACTCCCTTCTGAAGTTTTAGAAGAGGATAGTGATGGATTTGATGATGAAGATTTGATTCCATTAGCCCAACTTCGTTCACAGGTTTTGTCCAGAGCAAACGGGTTTCAGATGCATCCATCGCATTGGAAAAAACAAGATATTGTTGTAACGGACAATAACAATGCCGACAATGTCCTTGAAAGTGATGATACTGAAACTGAGACTTCACTTACGTACTTTTATATTTTTTTTACGCCAGAAACGATTACCCTGATAAGTTCACAAACTAATCTATATTCTGTACAGGTAACTGGCAACTCCATAAATACAAATGATAAAGAAATTCAACAATTTATAGGAATACTAGTCTTTATGGGCGTAATAGAGTTTCCATCATATACTGATTACTGGAGTCAACAGTATAGATATGATAAAATTGCTCATGTAATGAGCCTAAAAAGATTTCAAAAACTGAGACGATTTTTATATTTTGCAGACAATCACGAAAATCAAGAAGCGTCAACTTCTACTGATAGGCTCTACAAAATTCGTCCTTTACTGAACATTGTGCGATTCCAATGCAGAAATCTAGATCAGGAATCTCATCATTCTATAGATGAAATGATGATCCCACATAAGGGTACAAGAGCCGGAAATTTACGTCAATACATACAAAACAAGCCTCATAAATGGGGTTATAAGTTTTTTAAGCGCTGTGGAGTATCAGGCATCATTTATGACTTTGTTCGCTACACATTCAGGAATTCAGGAATGATTATCGATATAAATGAAGAGGAACAAAAATTTGGTATTGGTGGATAAGTGGTGATTTTACTCTGCAAGACAATACCCGCTTTGCAACCCAAAGTGTTTTTCGATAACTTTTTTTGTACATTCGAGCTAATTGCGTATCTAAAAGAGAAAATGCAAATAAATTCACTTGGTACCTTGCGAAAAAATAGGTTAAAAAATTGTCCCTTCAAAGATGATCGCAAGTTACAAAAGGAGGGAAGACGAAGATATGACTGTTGGTATGATGAGAACAACAAACTTATAGCAATAAAATGGGTAGATAACAAAGTTGTTACTTTGGCAAGTTCCTTTGTCGGAGTACAACCCCTAGGCTCTGTGAAGAGATGGAACGCCGCCGAGAAAAGAAAAGTAGATGTGCCTTGATCAAAAATAGTTCAACAATATAATAAGCACATGGGGGGTGTCGATTTATGCTTATTGAGTTGTACAGAGTTCCGCTAAAATCTAGAAGATGGTATCTTAGGATATTTGGCTGGTTGATTGATCTTGCTGCCGTAAATGGCAAATGGTTGGTTTACAGACGAGAAAGTGGAAAGAATAAGCCATGCCTAAAAGTTTTTCGTACCATGATAGCCGAAGGTCTACTGGCCCTGAAAAAGAATCCATCTTCCCTAGAAAACGTCCCATCCAAGAAAAAAGCTGTCATTCCTGGACCAGTAGAAGATTTTAGATACGACGAAATTGGCCATTTTCCGATTTATGCAAATAAAGAGAGGTATAGACATTGCAAAGATGGTTACTCAACAGTACACTGCCAAAAGTGTAAATTAGTTCTGTGCTTTGTGCCCAAAAGGAACTGTTTTTATTCATTTCACAATAAATAAAATTTGTTATTTTTCTCTATTATAACAGGCAATGTTGCTTTCAAGTAACATTGTTTTTTTTGTCAAAAAATGTAAAAAATAAATATTTTTCAGTTCAAAAGTGTTAGAGTAAACATTTTGTATTAGTTTATAATGAAAAAACATTTATTTGTATCTTTTTCATAGCCTTGCCAAATAAAGGGTTAATGACCATACCTAATTAATTGTACACAGAGAGCCAAATAAAACAAGATATTGAAAAAAAGAATCACAGTATATTATCAGCACAAGCAGCACATATGCTCCACCACTGCAATGCAAGTTAAAAGAAAAGATATTATTTGAGACTACCTGACAATAAGATTAATAGACCGCGATAATTAACGCTGCAAAACGTTTACCATGGTCCACGTATGAAGGGTTTACAAATATAAGCTTTACAAATATTTTAACGCCTAAAGCTAAACTTATCTGGACAATGGGCTTCTTCCAGTGACAGCTCTAGGCGTAGCTGTGATGTTCTCAGCTCCCAAAAACTCAGGTCAAAAATCATTGGCCAGTAGTGAGCAGTGACGTAAGGAACGTTACAAAATTTATGGTACAAAAAAACTAGAGAGAGAAATACTGTTTAAAAATCTACTCCCTATTTTCGGTCTGAGACAGAATTACACATTTGAAAGACTCAAAACTTGAAGAGAAATGCATGTACATTCTCTTTTACAAGAAAACTACCTTCTTTCTGCAAGGGCAAGAAAAGATAAAAATATACCAAAGTGATGTACCCTCAGAAAGCTATCCCTTGTTCTAAAATCAGTTATGGCAGCTCAAAATCCAAAATCATGATTAATGTAATCTAATAAGCCCAAAAGACAGTGACATGTAGGCACTACCCTATATTTGAATACGTAAAATGCCAAATAAAATCAAGAACACTCTAAGAATTTCAGTCAATAACTATCAATATATCAATATCTATAAAATACCCAATTAAAATATGCTGCCTGTTCACATCAGGGTTTTTTTATCAAGGGGAGAGATGGCTTCCAACAAAATCGGCTGCGAAACAGCTACAAGGCAGCTGCAAAACAAAGCTGGAGGAGTGTGAATGGTGGTTCTCCACAATGCCTTTCCACTAAAAGGAATCAGATGTTGAACAAGCTTCTTCAGGACAAGCAGTAATGGACATAGTCCGATAGTATACAAAAGAGAACTTACCGCTGCAGGTTAAAGTCCCATTCGAAGATGGACGGAGTAGACCCAAACCAAAACAACTAAATATATATATATATATATATATATATGTGTGTGTGTGTGTGTGTGTCAAATAATGGCATCGGAAACTGCAGTCCATTTGCCACAAAATTTTGTTAATGGATTTATATTGTCTGATCATTGTGAGAAACGGTAAGAAAGAAAGAAAAGGGAGGATATAACTGACTAGTTACGAATTCCAGACAAGGTTTATTTTATATGCTAATATTTGCCTTTTTAAGGAATTGAATTAGCGCTAAATAAATTTATATATCCGGAAAAGATAAAGCGGTAGTCAAATAAAGATCGTTGGAAGCAAAGTTTAATCATATGAGGACTAAATGTAAGGTACAAGGGTACTACTCCATAATCTGGTGTTTGGGGCGTTAATATCCCAAAAGTTAACAAAATAAAAGAAAACGCCCACACACAACCAAAACTACAGCAGAAACAAAGTGGCGCTGGACCATCTGCGCACGCAACCCCCTAAAAGAAGGTTAAATAAGTGGCCCTAAAGAAGGCACGTTCGACATAACAAAATATCCCTATACTGCTAGTACGTGTAAAGTCACAAGATGGCGCACTGGTTGCCAATTCTACGAGGGAGCAACAATATTTTATGAGGAAATTTCTAAGATCGTTAATAATACTATAACATTAGTGTCCAAAAGATTTCAACACAATACTGAGTCGCTGAGAATGACAGATGTAATTCGTGTGAAATTATACAATCAATACTATGAAATTTGACGAAAGAAAATCATTAAAAAGAGTTTGGCCTAGGAATCGGTACTCTACTATTAATGAAGAGAAATTCGAATTACTGATAAGTGGTCAAAATAGTAAAAAGGAAGTTACGTGATTTTAGCACGTGACAAACGCTTAAGCAGTATTGCTACTATTCGAACAATCTTCATTCAAAAATATTGCTCATCGGTTTTGTAAAGAAATATTTTTGGTCGGTTTCACATCCACAATTCAATTTTGATCGTGTTTGCGAATTTGCTGGACTGTGTAGTCTACTTAAACACGCAACAGAATGTTTCTGTGCGATTCCGCTTGATTATGACGCGGCTGTGCCTGTTGTTTTACGTAATCAGTTAGATATGGGATGTCAAGATCTTTGTGAATGGTCTCAACTGCATGTGCGTCTTACCGAGAAAAAATTCAAGCCGCGCATGCGTAGGTGATTGCTGATCTAATAATAATTGTATGCAACCGATTCTTGTTGATCAAACTTAACATTGTACTTCAGCACAACAAAAGATAGCTTCAGTGCCTTGCTAACAGGTTATTCTGGGTTATCCCCCTACTAATGATGACTCCAAGGTGTCTGACAGATTTTTCTCATAGAATCCCATAATGTTGACATAATAAAACGTTTATCTCCATCTAATAACATCTTATCTTAATCCGTAACGAATATAAAGCATTTAATTAAATGATTTAAGCCTATCATCAATTTATGACAGTTCCTTTGAAGGTCCTAGAAACATTTTGTCATGATAACGGATTTCGGACTGGTAAAACTCCCGTTGGCATATCAGTCCAATTTCAAGCAGATAGTACGCTGAAGTTAAGTAAAAGCTTTTTATTTGTACCATTACTAGTTTCAGACAAGATTTCCCTTTTCGTATTTTTGTTATTCAAATACGGATCCAGACTTACACCATTGTTCAAGTCAAGCGAAGAAGATGCTTTTCAGCGTCGTGAACGGACTCTACGATCCCTCGATTTGTTAGTTGTCAACTCGAATTTGTTCAATTATAATAGCTAAAGATTATAAGTAATGGCTGGTTGTTTACGGTATAAACATGACAAGGTAATTGAAGAACCATTTCTTGTGCTTTGCGAAATATAAGTGAGCTGTACGGAATCGTAATCAGCTTTTGATTGATTGATTCCTCTCAGCAAATAAGGTGACGAAATACTTAATGGGATGACATTTTCAGTTCGCAAAATTATTTGTAGTAATAACTGAAGATTATTCAACATGAAGTCTAAAGTGTATTTACACCCAAGATAGAACGGATGCGTGATTTCCAAAAGCAAGGACGGCGTACAGGGCCGCATTCAGGGCTACCTCCAAATGATGGACTACCACCAACGTGTTGTAAAACAAAGATGACAGTATTTAACGAAATTATCTAATATAGTGAAGTAGTTATAGTTAAAGGTGTCGCAAAATCAAATTTTTATTCTTGAAGGGGTGCTAAGTTTTTCTACATATTTTTCAAACTAGACAACATGGAGAAATACATACCAGAGGTAACCAGCTGCTCACTATGCACAATGAATCCGTAGTCAACGAGGGGTAGAGATGACACTTTTGTACATGGAATAAATATAAGGCTGTTCAATTAATTGAAAATAGATTTTGAAGGTGCACTTTGGACTTGCATTGTCTGTAGTTTATCTGTAAGTTAATGTTTCACTATAACTAGGATTTCCATAATATGTATTCTGTGACAAAACAAAAACGCGAAACTTACTCAGACCCACTCGAACAGCTATCGTCATTAATGTTTATGATGATGGATTCCAAATCTCTCTCAATTATGTTGTCCAGCTCCCACATTGCTACCTCCACTTTCTCCTGAACATGCTGCACACATTTTTGCCATCTTTCTGGTGTGACTCTCTGTATAGCAATTCTGAACAGCTCTTGCATGTCAGAAAATTGTATTGTGTGCAGCAACAAAATTCTTAACATATGCCCATATGAGCTCAATGGGGTTGAGCTCACAGTGGTAAGGCGGCAAACGGAGTACTGTTTTGAGGTGTGCTTTGGGCATTTCACTATGACATATTTATCATGTCTTGGTCTGTGTTGTTTCACAATATCTAATAGTTGTAATTTCAGTAAGGAAGGGTCGAAAGTTATATTTTTGGAAGGGAGCCAGCGCTGAAGGTCTGATTTCCTAGAAGCTGAAGTTGGGATTGTTTCTATTTTGCGAGAATTATAGGGAGCATTATCCAAAACAACCACAGAATTGTCTTCGAGACGTGGTAAAATGCCTGAAAACCACTTCTCGAATGCTTCCCCATTCATCTCTTCATGGTAGTCAGTGGTTTTTTTGACTCAAAAGACCATAAGCCGTCATCCGCGAAGCCATCTACACCCCCAATGTGGCAAATAATAAGCCTTTTTCCTTTGCCTAGAAAGATAAAATCCGCTAAGTACACATGCACGTCTTGTAGGTACGCAGATAGAGAGATATTGTGCGCAAAAATTGATACCGTGAACTACTTCGATCTATTTACCTGCTGGATGTTTCAATCCGGTCGACAGTCCATCTAGTAATGCCCTTCTGGATGAAGTCACAGTGTTGTCAACCCATACCTTCGGAGTAGTGTGCCCAGCATTAATGCAGGTTTCGTCCAGGTAATAGATCTTCCTGTGCTGATCCCTGAAAGATTTAATTTTGGTCAGGTACTCTCTCCTCCACAGAACAATTTTTTCTCTATCCATAAGTAAGCTGTTACGACCTCGTTTCTTCCATTCGAAATTAAGATGCTTCAAAAGTTTATGAATAGTCGAACGATCTTATGATACTTTTGCGATTTTTACCCGTCATTGGCTTGGAAAAGGCATGCTTTTTCTTATGTTCGTTCAAAACATTGTACACTGTCGCTTGGCATACCCCAATTTTATCTGCCACTTTCAGAGCTATTTTCGGGTTAGTTGATGTTTCGTCTTCCTTCCGCTCTATGTTGAATGTATTCAATATGACGCTAAGATGTCTTTTTTTATCGCTTTCTAGGAGGACTAAGGGAGTAGCCTACAGCCTCGTCAGCAGTATCTGTACTGGACATGTTCAGGATTGGTTCAAAACAAATAATAACGAGGAATAACAATAACAAACGGAAACTTAACAAAAT